TAATTTCATCATACCATCCTAGCACTGATAACCAAGAATAAAAAAAAAGAAACAAATTATTTTTGTTTTGGCCACTACAATTATCACAGGTTATATATAATTTTTTTTTTTCCAGTTCGTGCAAATTTTTGAAGAAAATGATATACCATATTAAGCATAGTATTAGAACCTTTTAATGTACTTTCAGGAATTTCATCTTCACCTATTATAAAATTTAATTGAAAGTTTTGACCACCTTCAGTTTTGCACGTATCAAATAAATATATAGAAAATAGGCTTTTAAAATATATTGATCCTATTTGTTGTGATGAATATGGAATTGATAAACTTTGTGCCCAATCATAACATACATATGCGACAGATAAATTATTAGTACTTTCATTTATATTATTATTATAATGTTCTCTTTCTTTTTTAGCAGCTTTATAATGTTGTTCATATTGATTTTTAATTTCTTCATATTCATCTACATTAGATTTTGCTACAATTAATTTGGCTTTTAAAGTTTCACAAACTTTACATAAATCACTTGCGGGTGGTTGAAACTTAAGATGTACCATCATTTCGTGCCAAAGCCTTCTAAATGTAAAATATGATATAATGTTTTTAGTATCTTTATATTCACTATAAAAATGTTCTTTAAATTTATTATAAACAAAAGTATATGTTTTGCCTGTTGGTAAGTAAATAAAAGGTTCTGATTCATTTTTATGACATATTGGAGATGGAAGTCCATGAGTAATCACATACTGTTCTAAATATTTTTTTACAAAAAAAGTAACACTTGAATCAAGAAATACTTTATTTTCTCTTTTAGCTACATGTCTAGTATTACCATGAATTCGTTCTACTAATCCTTTACTATATAAATGATCTTGTAATATTGAAAGAATATATTCATTTATACTATAAAGCTTTAAAAAAGCAGGTTTACAAAGTGGATAAGATGAATTATAGACATATCTAAAATTATATTTTTCTTTTTGAGCTTCTTCTAATTTAATATTTGTTATTTCAAATGCTATTAATTGTGCTTTTAAGAATAAATCAAGTTCAGATTTTTCTAGAGCACGTATTTGTAAATGTCTTTCAAAAAAATTTTTAAAGCCTACTTTTTCATAGCATATTCTTAAATCTTTTGATTTAGATTTTGACCGACATTTGCAATTTGATTGATTAAAAAAAATTGCATTAAGTTATGTACAGTATTAAGAACTAATTCATTATCTTCATATTCTTCTAAACCTAGTTCTATTAAATTATAAACTGGTTTAAAATCTAAATTTAAATCTTTGTTTAATAACATTAAAATTGTTAAATAAGATTTTATTCAAATCTAATTGTTTAATAATAGGCTACATATAAAATCAGTTTAAAATTAACAAGAAATTATAAAACAAATAGGGTTTTTTAGAAAGTTACTTTTTGTTCGCTAAAGCCAAATAGATAAGCAAATAATTATAGTATTATTCAAGTATTATTCAAGTATATACATACTATATAAGTTCTTTCACAACAAAATCATGCTTTGAGTGTATAGCTCTAAGCATGATTTTGCTATAAAAAAAACCCGAATCAAATAGACAATTTCCAATATAATAGTGTAGAAAATCTCTATTTAACAGATTAATACTAGTAGATATTTAGAAAAGATATTTAATAAACCTATTATTAGAATAACTTCTAAAACTATGTATATGTATGTAAAAAAAAAGATATATTGCAGGGATGATGATAGTGGCCAAAACAAAAATAATTTGTTTCTTTTTTTTTATTCTTGGTTATCAGTGCTAGGATGGTATGATGAAATTA